GGGGGGGGGCAGTCCCGCCCCCAAGTCAAAATAAAGTCATGCAAATTATAAACGTATAGATTCGGGCAAAAATTGGGGGAAGTAAATTTAAAAAGAAGACAGTACACGCAATATGGTATTTGAAAATGCTAGAAATATGTAAAAGAAACGAGGAATCGACAAATAGGAAAATATTTTTGTCTACTTCCCAACGACAATTTTGGAAATTTAGTTACACGGAAAATTTTATTCAGTGGGTAAAAGTCGGGTAAATTTCTTTCTGGCTCCCTGATTTTTTCCCGCCCGTATACGCCTATGACGGCTGAACTAATTTAATTTCCTGTTTATCGGAACATAAAGCAAACAATATTTGCGAAACATAATTTAGTATGCTCAAATTCTCGAAATTAAAGTAAACAAGAGGCATATACAATCAAAAGAAAAATCCAGTATAATATAAAACAAAAACTTTCGCAAAAATTTAGCCACAGGCCCACAACATTCAATAATAACAACTATTATCTAATAACTAGCTTTTATCGCTTCCTTATATATTACTGTCCATCCTTCCCGCTTTTACATGCACCTACTTCCGCGAAAAATTATTCATATGTCAAACTACATATAAATACTAGGACTTTACACTACGTGCGAGACATATTACCACCCGATGGAGTCACACATACGACAAAAGAATCCTATTTTTACTGGCTCGTATTATGAATTGACAATTGTATGAATCGTTAGATGTGATCAACGTGGATTTCTTAAAACGCTCTCGTTTGATATAAACGTACGTTAATGAATAAGCAGCATTTTAGTTACAAGCCTGGAGATGGCTGTCAAAATTCAGCGGAGTTTATGTGTCAGTTAGAATGAAATGTAAAAACATTTAGCAAGATTGAGGCATCAAATGCGATATTATTTTCTTATCCAATCTTTTTTGTTCACGTTAATATTATTGACTGTTGTAGCAATATTTATTGGAAAGTTTGTATTTCAGCCGTTGGTACTTGTTACGGAATGGCTATGTAAAGTTATATATAGATTGTGTTAAACGTGGTTAAAAATATTTTGACTTTGTTGTTTCTGATGACATTTGCCGATTCTCGACTTTTTACTCTCGATCGTCTCTCGACTTTCGACGTTTCACTCTCGACTTTTTACTCTCGACTCTCGACTTTTTACTCTCGACTCTCGAATTTTACTCTCGACTTTTACTCTCGACTCTCGACCTACACTCTCGACTCTCGACCCTCGACTTTTAGATACACTCCATATACTCAGAGCTGCTCCAGCCTCGAGCCGATATATACCAGGAAAAATAAATTCTCGTGTACAGTTCAATGACAAAATAAGATCTGACGTTTCAAATAACTCACTTGAGGACATTTTAAACTTGAATTATGTTATACTCTCGCTACTCTGGTTTAAATAAATGATTACAAAGCCCAGTCGAATTGTAATCAAGACCCAACGTTTCGACACTCCAGTCTAGTGTCTTCATCAGGGGTGATCTAAAACTGCGATCGTGGCTTCTTAAATACCCAAGGGATGTCGTCACCTGCCAAGAAGATGCATATATTCCTCTGGCAAATAGGCGCCGTCATCCCTATTCAAAGCATGATGACTCATATTTATATGCCACGCTTCTAGGCAAAGTCTTTGACCATAGCGATTGTTTGTGGTAATTACTTTAGAGTTTTCCCACGCAATCTCGTGTTTGGTGTAACATACATGTTCGGCTAAAGCTGATTTTCCCTTGTCTAAAGTTGAAACAGCCTTTTGATGTTCTTTTAACCGTGTACCAAATTGGCGTTTAGACTGACCCAAACACTCTTTGTCGCAGTCACCGCATGGTATAGAATATATAGCACGAGTCTTCTGATTTTTTTTCAACAGGATCTTTTGGCTTTGATAAAAAAATGGCCTAAAGTCAAAAGGGTTTTACGGCAACCTTAATATTACAATTACTTAAGATTCTCTTGATTGGTTCTGTGACACCTTAAATGTATGGAACTATTGCAAAACCCTTAACAGAGGTATCACCCTCGGAGTTATTTTGGTTCCTACAAACAGGTGGTCTCAGGCAATCATTAAGAAAACGCTTTGGGTAAGCGTGGCATATAAATATGAGTCATCATGCTTTGAATAGGGAGCTTAACGTTCTTGTGAACACGGACGTCAGATTGCAATTGCCGAGGGGGGACTGGATTGAAAACCGTGTTTGTGTCTGTTTGTGGTAATCTTCAACACATAAGACAAAAACATTTACAGTTATTTGCTGCCTAAAACGAGCGCTATGATACGAAATGCCGTTACAATTTCTAACACCTGTATACAGCTAATTCAAAATAGGTCGTCTTTTGCAAAACCTTAAACTACAAACCTTAAACCTTAGACTCCAAGTGCGCAACGCTTAATGGGAGCACAAATTTTAGGCATAGAGATGAATGTTGCAGCTATTTGTAAATGAATTGTTCGAGTAAGGAGATATTTACCATGTCTGCTTTCTAAACTGATTAAATGATGCTCCCATTATGTAGTGGCGTAACGTTATATCAGGGGACCCCCGGTTCAAAATTTTCAAAGGCCCCCCTGGTAGAAGTGCCAAAGGCACGAGTTGAGCGTCGTATATGCACGAGTTTTCTATGGGTCCAGGGCATGTTCACCCGGAAATCCTTTTGAATCGAGACTCTCTGAAATGCCATTTCCCGGACTTTGGGGAGAGATTTTACAGAATTCTGATGGGCAGAAAACGACATTGTGACATATCAGAGGCCCTGGCGAAGGTTTTTGCTCTACGGTTTGAGCCTGGAGGCCATCATTTAGCCCATTGGGGTGGGGGTCCCCGGGTACGCCCGGTCCGAGTCCATAGTAGTTACGCCACTGCCATTATGCTTTGCACGCTTAAAGTTTAAGGTTTAAGGTTTAGATTTTAAGGTTTTGCAACGGACAACCTTTTTTGAATTAGCTGTATAACATGTAACTTAACAATTAAGAAAAAATACAAACAAACGATATTTATAGTCAGATAACTAATAAACAGATAACTAATAAAATAACATATAACTAATATACAGATAACTCATATACAGATAATATAACTAATAAATTATACAAATAAACCGATCATTCGAATATTCGTACCTTCATCTAAGAACTAATTTTTAAGAGCTGTTCATTTATACCATACTTGACAGAGTGGATTGAGATGAACATATTTAATAGGAAAGTAATATCACAAGGCCGGGTTGTAAAGAAAAATAATCTAGGCAAGTAAGTAATAGAAGTGAGCATAATACTTGATGTAATCAGTCACTCGAAAAGCCCCGATTGCATGGGGAGTGAGTTGAATTAGGTATAATAATAATAACAAAGACTTTATTTAAACTGTTAATACTATATAAACATGCATATTCTTATACACTACAAATATGAGATTTATTGTCAAATTCTAAAAGATGCGTATAAACAGCACGTTTAAATTTTGAGGATGTCATTTCTCTAATGTTTTCAAGGTAAAGAGTTCCAGTCTTTTGCACCCAGTGGTGCCTAAATTAGGCTACTTCGAAGTTGTACTCGAGTAAAAGTAGAAGTAATTAATAATAAAACGACTTGAGTAAGAGTAAAAAGTACAGGAGGCAAAACGTACTTAAGTAAAAAGTACAAACTTAAATATATTTAAAACATACTTGAAGTAAAAAGTAAAAGTAAAGTACTACTGTCTGTAGCGTATAGGGGGGGGGGGCGGACTTTTCCAATGGATTGACAAACAAAAGACCCAAAACAGCACACGCATTATATGCATCACCTTATCTACTTTCCAGGCCCCGTTGAAAATATAAGAAATCCATTAAATAAATAATGCTTATAAGTAAGCTAACAAGTAGAGATTCCAGACGCATGTGGAAGTCTTATGTTACCTATCCCAAAATTAAAATAAATCTGGTGAATGAGTCACGTAAAATTAAACAAAAGTTAGAAAATAACGAAATACCACAAAATGAAAATAACGAAGTAAAACGATACTTCTCAAAACGACTTCGTTCCAAGTAAAGGTACTCCAGAAAAAGTTTAATTTGTTACATGCTGACTTCTCAATAATAGTACTCAAGCACAGTAACGAAGTATATTTACTTCGTTACTTGACACCACTGTTTGCGGCAGCATACTTGAATGTTGATTGACCTGTTGCACTCAGTGTTCACCTGCGAACGATCAAGCAGCGTCTTATTCCTCAGGTCTTTGCTGTACATGCAACGTCTGAATTTGAACGTATCTCTCAGTTTCCTAGGGCAGTCCAAGTTATACAGTATCTTGAAAATACTAACAAAGCGTAAAAATCGTCTCCTGCTATGCAATGTTAGCAGCTTCCGTCAGGGGCGTAACGTTATATCAGGGGGCCCCCGGTTCAAAATTTTCGAAGGCCCCCCTAGTAGAAGTGCCAAAGGCACGAGTCGAGCGCCGTATATGCACAACTTTTCTAGGGGGTCCAGGGCATGCTCATCCGGAAAATTTTTGAATTTAGACTCTCTGAAATGCCATTTCCTGGAATTTGGGGAGAGATTTTACAGAATTCTGATGGTCATAAAACGACATTGTAACATATCAGAGGCCCTAACCAATGTTTTTGCTCTATCGCCTAAGCCTGGGGCCCCCATTTAGGTTGGGGGCCCCCGGGTTCTCCCAGTCTGAGCCCATAGTAGTTACGCCACTGGCTTCCGTTCGCTGCGCATGTTTATAACCTTTCTTTCTGTTTATCGTTTCCAGGAATTCCAACGCAGCATCCACTTGCAGGGGAAATGTTCCACAGGGAAACGTTACCTCACATGCCTTTACGAACAGAAGCACACTTCCCCTATTACCCCTCTATGTATCCTCCTGCTCCGTTTGCCTAGGGAATCCCCGTGTATACTCAGAGCCAATGGTTACTACTGACTCACTAGAGAGAAAACGAACTGGTCCAGAGAAAAACCGCAAGGAGTATAGGGACACTGAATCCGAAACTCGTGATCGATATGAAAGGTATGTGTATATGTTGTCGTAAACCCTGGATGGATAGTAAGGACTTCGAGGTAAATTTTGAAATTAAACTAAATTAACTTTATTTATATATACTGGATAGCTCAATCAGTTCTAAAATATTCCCCCTGGAGATCCAGCAGGGGTTATTTCTTATTGTTCCAGTGTTACTACAGGAGGAAACTAGGGCATACTAAAAAAAATTTAAATTTCAGACCCGTTTTTTGTAGGTGGAAATTACGAGCCGAATTTCCATGTACAAAAACCTTTCAACATTCAGTTATATCGGGGCGCGCGAGATGCCCAAAATTTAAAACAAACTATAACAGTGTGTATTTTATTGCTTTACAGCTCGTCGAAGAGGGACGGAAGTTCGAAAACGTGGGCGAGAGGCGCCGGAAACGATGCGTCGAAATATTGATCAGAGATCAGCTAAACTGGACTACCAACGAAAAGATGACAGCGATAGACGAGGATATATGGATAAATCTAATGGTGATGCTAGAGTGATAATGGATAAGTGTGAGGAAAACGGGGTGAAAGATTCTTCAGAAAAGTTTAGGGACATTGAAGAGACCGAATTGTGGAATTCGAATGACCGCACGGAATCGTCTTACATGACGTTTTTCAAAGGAGGTGACAGATTTTATGATGACGGACATAGGAAGCGATTAAAATACAGTGAAGACTTAATGAACCGTCATGCTAGGAGGGAAGAAGCAATGAAACGGAGTAGACAAAGAGAAGAGAGCGAAAGAGGTCGTGGTCCAGAAATTATCGATCCAAAGAGAACGGAGGTTGCTTCGCGCGATATGTTACGTGAACAGCGAGTGCTATCACGTGGACAACAATCACGCGAGGACCAGGAGTCACGTGGACAGCAATCACGTGAACAGAAATCACGTAAACTTGATCGACAGTCACATCATCGGGAGCAGCGCTTACGGGATCAAAGTCCCCGTGACTTTGATCCCCGGCTCATAAATCCTGGATTAGTAGACCACCGGGGAATTGACGACCGGCTGTATGCTGCCAACGGCAATCTCCGCGGAATTGACCCTAGAAAGTATGACCCGCGTATAAGAGAAAGCGTAATCGTGAAGTCTAAAAGAAATTTGGATGAGCAAAGCGATGAAAAACATCGTCTAAAAAAACGAATTCCTCGTCGGAATGAGTCGTCGAATGATCGGACCTTGCCGGAACATCTTCAGGTTTTCCGCAATGATGACGGGCGGCCACGAAGTGCACGTCAATGTAGTACTCGAATCGTGACACCTCAAGTGAATCGTGCCGATGGTGAACAGAACAGAACAAAAATAAAATTCAGCGCGCTTGATACAGCTAGTCATCCCGAAACCACTAAAGCCAACAGAAATGAATCGGGAAATAAAATTGTGCAAGCTATGCCATCAAAACCTCGACACTAACTATATAACAAAGAGCTTTAGCAGCGAGTACGAGTACGATATTTGGCAATGCGAAACGCACGCTGTATGCTTACGCCACCCGTATTGACGCGAAAAATGCAAAATTAATTTGTAGTCCTTATCCGGCTCAAATAATCTATTAATACTAAATATCTGGCTTGTTTTTGACTCAGTGGCGAAGCCAGCCCGAAAGTTTGGCCATGCAATGGAAATTTTAAATCATCATTATTCATTTCTTTACAAATGGATTGTTTTCACGGTCTATGAACAGGGAAATATTTGCATAGCATGACCAAATTATCAGGCTGGCTTCGCCGCTGCTTTGACTCCACTTATTCATGACTTATTTGCACTTAATTCGTGTATTGTTCCTTATAGAAGGGGATAATTTTGTAGGGGATTATTTAGCTTGCTTCAATTTTAGTTTATAGAAAAATTTTCTTGTTTGTTGATTGCTATTAAAGCAACATTTGAACGAAAACGAAAACGACTGCGACTTCCTCTCACGCGGTCAAATCTCGTACTTGTAGTCACTGCTAAAGCTCCCTAATAGAAGATGGTCAAGTGTTACTACAGGAGGAAACTTAAACTACAGCAAACTAACAATTTAATTATACTGGATAGCTCTATCAGTCCTAAACTGTTCTTTCTAGAGGTGCAGTAAAGACCATAATATATGGTCAAGTGTTACTACAGGAAGAAACCTAAACTACAGCAAACAAACTTTTTTTTATACGAGATAGCTGTATCAGTAAACTTCCTAGAGGTGTAGAAAATACCATATTATATTTTCAAGTGTTTCTACAGAAGGAAATTCTTAACTCTTACAGAGAAAAAACTTTGTACTTTTTAGACCCATCAATACAAATCAAACAACAACAACAACAACAACAACAACAACAACAACAAATGCAACAAGAGAAACTAGATTCCAGGCGCGCTGAAGAAGCTGAGCAAGGCCAGAAAGTGAAATCCGAGTAAGTATGATTGAACGATGTCGATGTACATAAACATAATTCATGTTTTCACGTCCTTGTTCGAGAAGACGCGAAAGTCTTAAACATTACGTATGTCAGTGCAAAAGTGTTTGTGTTTTATGAAAGAAAAAAACGATCAATTTCTACTCAATAGAATCAAAAATAATCCGACCTGTAACCACTAAAACAAGTTTCAAGTGAATAACTTAAAAAAGAGGGAATGCAAGTATTTTTTGGAACGCATGCGTTTTAACCACAAGCATATTTTTAGCGATATTAAAGAAAGTGAAAAGTACTTAAATGCATCAAACTGATTATTGGAACACAACAGCAGGCGCGGATCCAGCCTAAACCCTGACCGTGGCGCACTCCAAAACCGCGCATAATTAGGGGTGTCCGGGGGCATTCCCCCCCGGGAAATTTTTGAAATTTGAACCCCGGAAATGCCATTTACTGAGTTCTGAGCATCGAATTCTATCATATAATTCGTCATTAATTACGCCATATTTTAGACAGCAAATAACGAAACGCACTAAATAAGTCAAATATTTAAACAACATACCATGTTCTTCAGCGAACGTTACAACATTAGAATGTTACACTGTACTTACATAAAACCACAATTCTGTACCGCACGTACTGTTCCTGTGTATTTCAGGTTCTTCGTAGCAAAAAATATCCAATTAGGGCTGTACATCGAACTCAACCATCTTGGCCTTTCAGTTGCAACGTAGGTCTTTTACGGGGTGGGTTTTTCCAGCTGCACATCGATACCAAGTCGGTCTTATTCTCGATCATTCGCTTAAACTGTGTAGCACGGAGAGTTGCCGTTGCGTGAACATTGGATTTTTCACCATGCTGACATAGTTTCTGGACAGCAGAAGCACTTGGAGGAAGAGCACTGGTCATCAATTGTTGGAGCTCGCTTGCATTATGCGTGCTTTCACTGCCAAAAAGAACACAAGTGACGCAAAAACCACCGTTTGCCACAGCAGAGTAAGCCAACCATGGAAATCGTGATAACTATGCAACCGGAAACGTCTACCAATATTTTCGTGTGGAGGAAAAGAAAAATCAGAACCAGGTTTCCAATGGCAATGATTGCACAGAATTTCGTGAATCAGGAAGACTGGACACCAGATTTATGTAGTTGTAGATATCATCTGGCCACGAATTGGTGGAAGTTCGTTGTGTTTTGGTGTTATATTTTTCTGAAGTAGGACCAGTGTTGGGAGTTACAGATGAAATTCTTTTACTTGTGCTGGGAAATTTGATTTCACTGTCTACAGTTTCTTGTGTGTTGCACACTCGTTTCACAAGAAGCGCATCGATCTAAGCTAATTTGTTTTCTTTTTGGACCAGTCGTCTGCTTTTTAGTAAATGTAGTCACTTGTGTAGAGGAAGGAGCAGAAAACTTTAGTAGAAACTTTAGGAGGAACTTTAGGATGAACTGGCATCGCAGACTTCAATAAGGTTGGAAGGTGTGCTTTAAAATAGTGGTCTCGTGGCTGAAGTGCTTTAACTGGTTTGCACAAGGTAACAAAATGATTTTTGGTACATAGAATTCTTCGATCAACCAAATAAGACGGTGGCATCGCAGCACAATGAAATATATGGACATATTCAATTGCACTGCCATCAAGATAATCCCGTGGATATATTGTATTGTACATTTGAATCCAAGGAATCCCAATTTTCTTTCGCTACAGTATCATTGGTGAGTGGGTAGAATGACTGAATGGCACACTGAATTACTGTGGACAAGGCAAACATGCACACCATGGATGAGAATGTGTAATTTTTGCAGCTTCCTTTGCTTCTTCTAAAACTGCTGCATTTCATTACAATTCTCGAAAAAAGTAAGAGCTGCATCAGATACACACATGGCAAAGGCATTTTTAAATGAAGTGAATGCTACGTTTTTATGCTGGGACTCGATGAAGGAGTGGTTAGCATAGTATTTGGCATTCTCAAACAGTTCAATACTGGTGAGGCATCTCAAGTGAGCAGACAAACTCTCATTCCCGATTAACGCAATAGAACATGCATTAAAGAGACAATGAAGTACTGAAAGAATTTAAGCATTTAAGTATCAATGGCTATTTTATATTATGTTGTAAATATTCAATCGAAACTTTTAACCAGAATGTCAACTTCTTTACACCACACAGTAATTATGTGATTATACCTTGCAAACTTCACTCAAATTATCTGGAGAACAAATGTTATGCCTTGCCACTTGAGAAATAGCAAGGAACCATTTGTTTTCCCAAATGTTTTCCCTCCTTTTGCTTGTATAATCATGGGTCACATTCCATATAACTTTGTGCCGAAAGGATAATTACTAGAATTAGTCAGGGTAACCAATAGAACTAGAGTTGGTTTTAATGTAAGGACTGGAGATTAAATTTTGGGATCATTAATATGGAAATTGAGCCATAATCATAATTATTTTAACAATGAGGCCCCCTACAATGTCTTTGTGTAATTTGAGTAACATCATGATGACATCAAATTCACAGCTGGCCTTGACTAACTCATGGGATTTTGTTGCAGTTTTAGATTCAGGATTAGGTTTTAATGTCAGGATTAGGATCAGGATGACATCATCCACAACAACATCAATATTCATGCACAACAAACACCTGTGAGGTAGTCACCCTCCAGGGGTCAGTTGTTAAAAATATTTGCTGTGTTGGTGTAATGTACTCTGGTGAATAAGATGCTTGTGTGATGTTATTAGAATGTTAGGGTTAGTAATCCAAGTGAGAATATATACATTTTAAGACCTAACCAGGAACGACTGCACAAAATGCAGCACAAGGTCCTCTGGTAGGAAATGAACCTACGGCCCTGCGATTCCTACCAGAGGACCTTGTGCTGCATTTTTCGCAGTCGTTCCTGGTTAGGTCTTAAAATATATATATTCTCACTTGGATTACTAACCCTAACATTCTAATATTAATTCCACCAAGTGAAGTGCAAGAATCCATATTGTGTGATGTTACTCTGACTGTATATCCACACTGGGCAGGCTTGAAAAATATGCCTGGCCACGGTGGGATTCGAACCTATGACCTTGGCAAAGGCATTGGGAGAGCATTGGGCTAGTATTCTTTGGCAGAGCATTGGGCTAGTATTCCAAAGGTTGTAGGTTCGAATCCCACTGTGGCCAGGCATATTTTTCAAGCCTGCCCGGTGTGGATATACACTCAGAGTAACATCACACAAGCAATTTAGAAATATTTCTTCAGAAATCTTGTCTGGATGAATGAAAGTTTTCTTCAAAGCTTCGAAGTAAACAGGCATGCAGAAACACACAAACAAAAACACTAGGTTAAATTTTAACCAAGGATTAGCCTTAGCTTAGAACAACCGACCCCTGGTCAACCTACAAATATTAAGGCGCTATATTTAAAGCTTGGTGAAACCAAATAGACGACTATATAGACCCAATACTGAAGTAAACATTTTATTTTACAGTCGACAATCAAATGTTGTAGCCGTAAACTGTAGCAAAATACTGATAACAGTTTTAAACAGAGTTTTTACTAATATTTCACGACAACATAGCGGATAAATGCAATTTATATTTTATTGACAACCGCCATGTGTTCGAGATCATATTACTATTTCACTAACAAAAATTTACATACATACAAATTTGCATGCACAAATTATTCCCTGACCCCAGCGTAAATGCAAATTTAATATAAGTCGATTAAAAATTCTTACCTAACAGGAACATTAGGCCCAGATCTTTCAGTTTGGCTCTTGGAGAACTGCAGTTTTGAAAATTCACACATTGGCAGCACGATGTCGCCAGTAGATTTCATACGGCGCAACCTTTCTTCAGTGATAAATTCATCATATTGTTGCCTCAAGAGCGATAATTCCCCTGAAATATGTTCGCTTAGGTTTGCTTGTTGAAAGATTTCGACGAGCTTGCTAAGAACATCGACTTTTTTTAAAAGCTTCCATCCTAATAGCATCCATGTAGCTTGTAATGTATTATTCTTTATCCCGTCAAGTCGACAAGTATCAAACTTTATTGTTGATCATTTGTATTGCGCAATCAAAATAGAGCCACCGTGGCACACCGTGGCGCACATGACCACAACTTGCCCTGTGATTGGTTTGCAACGCTGCACCGTGGCAGAAAGTTACTATATTTAGTAACAATTGCGCAATTTTTTGCACGCTGACCGTGGCATTTTGTGGCTGTGATCGCAGCTTCGAATTTACGACTGTTTTCCGAACATATTCGGCACAATTCGGCACGCTTTCGGCAGTTTTTATAGTTCAGTGTTTAACTGGATAATTATACTATTGAACAAGGAATATATTTCGGAAGTTTTTCCTGCTTTTAGCACATATTACTGTAATATGAGAACAATTACAAAAGATATTATTCAAATTGTTTGCTATAGACCTATATTTGCTCAATTTTGCTGTATTTCAAATAACTAATATATGCTTCTTAAAAATGCGTAATGCAGTCTAATGCAGTATCCAACAAAGGTGAACCCCGGAAAATCCTAGGTGGGAAAAATCTGGCCGTGGCTCGAGCCACTTTTGCCACGGTCTGGATCCACGCCTGATGCTCTCCTGAAAATTGCAATGTGCTACTTTTGTGCTGAAAGTCAAAAATTTGTCTTTTCCGTACCCGTAGCCTCGCAGTAGCTCGCTTGGAAGAGTGATTTTCATTGGCTCGATTTGACAATTGCTTTTGTGTTCAGAACAATGACATTGCTGAACAATGACATTTTTTAGAAAACCCCCATGCCATCCAATTGGAGACGACCTTCCGAGGCACGGCAAGGCTTCCCAATTATAAGTGCATTCATCTTATAATAATTAATAGTGCAATTATAGTGTATAAATATATAGGCTATAGAATGATGTAACAAATGTTGTATGGCAAATGCATTTTTAGCCAATCTAGGAAACTTGATTTTCAAAATTTTCTGGCAGAGCATGGATCCTCTTGGTGGTGCCCTTTTTTAGCATCTGTATTTACCTAATTTGGATCAGACCTATATTCATTTCAGTGGATCAGATCCCTCAATGCATGTTATCTAAATTAGTTTTATGTTATATTCCTAAAAGTATTATTAATTAAGATTTTTAGTGCACTGAAATTGATTTTTCTGTTAAAATATAACATAACATTCAATCTAACAACTTGTTAGTGTCACAGATAGTGTCCAAGTGTCGATTTACTTCATTAGTTGCAGAAAAAAATTCAGTGAACCTTTTGCAGTCCCAGAAAGTAAAATATTTTTTCCACCTCTGAGTATAATGCAAATTCATGGTCATACGTAGTCACTTGTGTGTACTTGAAGTAGTCACTTGTGTGTACAAGATCTTCCCGGGAGAGGCAAAATTATATTCATTATATAACATTTAAACGCAAGTGTTTATATGGAAATTTTTCAACTCATCTCGGCTGGTAGGGTCACCCTGGCAGTAGGGACACCCTGTTTGCAAAACAGGGTTATTCCTTGTACAGTAGGTCACCATCGGCAATGTAAAAATTTATTCACTAATTTATTTACCCGATTTCTTGTCTTCTCCAGACAATTCTTCTGAGTCAGATCATCCACGTGAAGATCCAACCAATGACCTGGAGCCAAACCAAAGTAGTGAAAATAAATCTGGCAGTGAGTGTGCTTTAGAATATCTAGTAACTAAAAACATTCAGAACGTATTTAGCAAACCATTTGTTTTTGGACTGGTCAGGGACATTGCTATAGGGGGTGTGGGGGGTGTAACACCCCCCCTCCAATAATTCAAATGTTAGTCAAAGTTGGTCAAAATGGAACTGATATTTGCACAAAGTTGGTCAAAAAATTATATTTGAAAAAAATATTATTTGTAATAATTATTTGTAATGTCCCAATACCTTATATTTTTTGTCTTCTCTAGATGATCTTAGTTTATTGGTTCATATGATAGAAAATTTAGAGTCAGACCATCCACACAAAAATCCAACCAATGACGACAATGAGAGAAGTCAAAACAATGAAGATATGTCCAGTAAGTGTGCTTTAGAAAATCTACAGTAATAACTAAAAGAAACTGGAGTGCGAGGTATATACAGTGTAAAAATTATTATAAATTTTACTTAACATGCACTAAGTAGTATTGTATAGAAACATTGCAAAATTGGCTCAGGGCTGTCAACCCATAATATAATTCTTACATTATAAACAGAAACGCCAGAAACGCATTCAGAAAATGCATTTATATATATATATATGCAGCATGAGGGGCCGTGTTGTATCTGATATGCAAACTCGAACCGACGGAGGCAGTTGTATATGCCTGATGCAACAAGACTGTGCATGCTGTATATCATACTTCTCAGAAACTTAAACAGTGCAGGTGTTTTAATTAACAAGGAGAATTTTGTATCAGATATACAAAATGCCTCATCAAGCGCTGATTTATTTTTGTTTTCCAAACCAGCTTTATGAATTATAAATTATTTTACAACTTTTAAAAAATTTTCTGACGATGTTTATTACCAATTATGTCTTAAATTGTTTTTGTTCATTTTAGTTTGGTTGCAACTTGAAAGAATTGTTTTCCAACAAAGGCAACAAACCATTCCTTGTGGCAATTATGGGAGACAAAAAGGTCCATCAAAGTTTCATTGGGGCAGAGAAGAGAGAATTGCTGGAAGTTGAGGATAACTCTGTTGGTCAGTTGTTATTTTGTCTATAACACAGCATACAAACAAGGGGAAAATTTCATGATTTTATGCAAGAGTTTGTTTTGAAAGTTCCTGATCAATCAAAAAAGAATTCCAAATATGCAACATTTTATAAGCAAATCAAAGGATAAGATGATATTGTTTGGACATTATGCAAACTTGTTAAACCATTATTGCATGTTATATGTATATGTATATGTGTATATGTACATATGTACAGGGTGTACCATTATTGCATTAAACATGGTTCCATTAACCACTGAACAGAGAACATTCGTAATCAAAACCTTTTATGAAACAAATACCTTGCAGAAGGCTCATGTTGCTTTTGGATTGATTAACTTTGCATAACTGATTAATGTATTTTCAATTCCCAATGGTGGAAGAATGTGATTTTGACCAACAATTTTTATTTGACGAGTATGTGGCCATTTCTCATCGTTTAAGAAAGGTATCATAGAAAAGCTAAATAACAGCTCTTTCGTCCTATGTAAAAATTGAACTGTTTAGTTCAGTTTGTGATGCACAACAGCCTGTTGAGTTTCCATAGCGTTTTTTTTTTTAGACACCCTGTATATATGTGTATATGTATATGTATATGTATATATGTATAATTGAAGTTTAAAAGATTTGTAATATATATATTACTAGTTCATTTAGTTTAAGTAATATTCATTTAAGTAATAGATTTGTTTTATGTTTGTATGTTAATTCAATTGTATTCACTTAATTGGCCGTGTTCGTGCCAATTAGTATAAACAGTTTGATGGATTCTTGGACTGCTAAAATTCAGGGAAACGACAAAACGCGGACCCCAGGTCCGTGGACTACCTTCGTGGACCTGGTCCGTGGACTACCTTCGTGGACCACTCTCGTGGACCACTCTCGTGGACCACTCTCATGGACCACTTGCGAGACACCAGATTTTTGGGGTTTGAATTCTTGACTGTGCATGCAAAAATGTGCTCGAGTCAAGTTCAGTCATTATTATCATTGTGGAAACTTTACACAAAATGTGAAGTTCTAAATCCATTCACTACATGACCGTTCTAAAATATAAGTGTGCAATTACGACTTTAATGCAAAGTTTCCGAATATATGCCCTTAAAATTGGTAGTTTTTTTTCTCGATCGCTACAGGAAATGCAAGAAAAGCAGTAATCGAGCTTCAAAAATTAATATTTTTGGGAGAGGACCTTCAGGCATTGAAAGGTCATTGCAACTTACGACTTCTACAGTTCAAGTGATTTTTTAACAGTAAAATTCGAATAATTCAGTAAAATCCTTTGACCACACCCCCCCCCTCCCCTCCAGATTCTCCACAGTATTCCTATATTTTTTAATGGAACCCTGACTACATTTTTTCAGCATTTTTACAGACTAATTAGTATTCACTGTTCATCAACAAAAACTGAATCGATTGTGAAATAAATAATGGAAATGAATAATGAAATAGTTCCCGCCAATCTCGGCTCCCTAAACTCGGAATAATAGTGCTTGGTCTATTGTTCGGTAGGCTAAATTTCGCAAGTGGTCCACGAGAGTGGTCCACGTGAGTGGTCCGTGGTCCACGAGTGTAGTCCATGGACCAGGTCCATGAAGGTAGTCCATGGACCTGGGGTCCGCGTTTTGTCGTTTCCCTAAAATTCACAATAGTTAAATGTGCAGGGAAAATTTGTTAGTAGAACACCCAAGTAGAAGGATAGTGCATGTTATATTAACACATGTTGGAATCTGCCTCGTCCCTCATCGCTTCAGTTGGGAATAGAAATCAGTGGAAAAACAATGGGAGCGCTGTGCTTAATGGGAATGCAATAGAATTTGAAGCGACTCGGAAATCCTGCATCCAAGATGGCGTCTGTTGTAATGACAGACGTTGACGAGGATAATGCAAATGTAGAGACTTTTTCAAGACCATTGCATTTTTGGCAAATAAAGTTGTTTGCCCAATGCCCCAGTGCATCCAACATAAGTTGTTTTTTGAAAATAATGGATCAGCGCAGCATTTTCGTATGACTAATAAAAAACAGATGACAGACCAAGATCTGTCAAATTCTTATTCGTTTATGAAGCGTATGTGTGGCGAGGAAACATTGAAATATATTTCCTATTTATCGTAGAAGCGTACGAAGGTATGTTCATTTACATTTTTTACGCTCAAAAATTATCAATTGCCCCAATTTAATATACGTGCATATTTAAAAATATCAATCTTAAATTATTTAAATTTTAAAATAAATAGCTTCAAATTTTGATTGTTGTAGACATTGGCAAGTGGTTCTTGGTTCAACGTCTCCGGAGAAGGAAAGGTTATTCCTATATTTGGCCAAGATCCTAAAGAAGTTGCCAAAATATATGGAATGTTTCTTTTGCATTCTGTCAAGCTGAAGACATATGTGGATCAAAATAATCCCTGTCGAATCTTGGTATGTTGGCCTTTGGGAGAAGTATACTTCAAGGCATGGTATATGCATGAGAAAATGGAAAGCAACGTCGAGGGAACTGTCATTGTTATTGAATGCTATTTTGTAAAGAAGGTATCTGTTTTAACAGTATTTGTACGTGTGTGTGCTAATATAATGTGTGCATTATATTCGCATGGTAACTATATTCAAATGCAGCTTCGTTCAAGCATTAACATTTGTGATTTGTGCTACAAAAATTATGAGCACACATTCTCTATGAAGTTTCCGTCTTTTACCTAAACAATTAGAGATTGTTCAAAGATATTTTTGAATATAGTGTACACTGTTAAAAAGCGATATTCAATTGATTTTTCCCATGTAGTTTAATTAAAACATGAATCATTGTCATGTTTAAACATGAAATTTAATACATGTGACCTGATCTTGTGCGGAGTATTTCACATTTGGCTGCAGCTGGCAAATCTAATTTTGTTGCTCTAGAAACTAGAAAGGGCTTGTTTATTTTTGCAGGTTTGCATGCATAGAGAATGGTTAGGGTTTTATTATTAAGGGTTATATTTATATTTAGAGTTCTAATGTCATGTCAGGATAATGCATATTTGTGTAAACACATGCAACTGCAGAACTAACCACCAATACCGACTGTAAAATGTAAATTGTGCATTTAATTAACCCATGAGTGGCAGCACTCTCCACTTGACAAATAAAATTTTCTGGCATTAGACAGAGTAAAATACTCTGGCGTTAGACAGATTAAAATATTAAAGTAGGGCAAATCAGGGTGCATTGCCACTTAAAGGGTTAACCCATTGAGCCGCAATAATTTGGCAAATAGTCTCTCTTTTTTTTATTTTTGGGGGGTAAGCATAGTTGGAAATAAACTATTTAAAATAAATCACTTATTATTTTACTATGGCTAAAGTAGATGTTAACTATAGTTACCTTGACAATTACTTTGTGTCACGTAAAATATTGTTAAATTAATTATTAATCAGTCATTTTATAGCCTTTGCACCATGTGCCAGTATCACAGCACCAAACGACACCATCAACAGTTACAGAGACTGTGCCTGCCTACATGCCAGGTGAAACAAGTGCAAAACTTGCTGTGCTACGTGTCATATTTAAATATGACAATTTTAAAGGAAACCAAGAAGAGGCTACTGATGCCATACATTCCCGCCATGATAGCCTTGTTATATTACCCACAGGTGCTGGATAAACACTGTGTTATGCAATCCCAGCCATTATTTCTGGTGGCGTAACAATTGTTGTATGCCCAGTGCTATCATTGATGCTTGACCAAGTACAACAATTGAGATCAAAACGACTAAGTGTAACATGCATTAATTCCAGTATGACAAAGAGTGAGCGGGATGCAATTATGCACAATATGGCTTCTGATGTTCCACCATATAACTTTGTGTTTGTTACACCTGAAACTGTTGTATTAGATGACATGAAAAGTTTATTATCAAGCATGAAAGGAAAGGACACTTTCGTATGAAAGTCATTGTGTTGATATGTGGTGACTAGGTTTCAGGCCAGCATATGCTGAACTTGGAGCTCTTTCAAGCTTATCTTGTCCCATTGTTGCACTAACAGCCACTTGCACGTCAAGGACTGAGAAGGTCATCACTTCATCATTGGGACTTACAAATTCCAACTATTGTTGGGCAAACATGTAATCAGAAAAACATTTCGTTAGTTGTTAAGAGGAAAAAAGGTGATGGGAAAGAGCAAGTGGTTGATGAAATTTTGTCAAATCACAAACACAACTGTGGTATTGTGTACTCTGCAAAGAGCCAACACAACTGATATGGCCTACCTTTTGCAAACCAAAGGGATTAATACAACATACTACCATGGTGAACTTGATCCATAAAAGAAGAATGAAAATTTTCAGTCATGGCTGAATGGGAAAGCTCTTGTCACGTGTGCCACAGTTGTATTCGGGATGGGCATTGACAAACCTGATGTCCAGCTTGTCATTCATTTAAGTTTACCACCATCTCTCGAATGTTATGCCCAAGAATTTGGGCGTGCTGGCAGGGATGGAAAAGAAGCATCTTCAATCGTGTTTTCCTGCTTTGAAGATCGAACACGACATCTGAAAATTATCAGTGAGTTAACAGATGGTGATCACGATCATTGAAGATGAAACAGTTGAATGAAGTTGTGAAATTCTGCATTCAACCAAAATGTAGAAAGCTTCAGTTAGTCAACTATTTGGTGAGGATTGTGAACATCTTTGTTACGACATGTGTGATGTATGCTTGGACAAGACAAATGTAGAACCCCAAATTGCAAATGATCAAGCTCTGGATGTACTGAGTTGCCTAAAGAACATGTGCATGTCTCAAAATAAGGTCACTTCCAGTTTGTTGATGTTTGTGTATAGAGGAACACCACACAGTGTGATGTGGGAATGAGTTAATGACTTTCCGGATTAAAATAAATGCAACAAGATTGTGATTTAAACATTAAATGACAAATGGATTTAAAAACATTGTGGGTGAAATATCAATTTCACTCGCATGGTGCAAAGTTTACCATACTAGCTCTGTCCGGGTTTACCAATGCTACAAAAATATCTTTTTTTCTAAGTTTTTTTATCAGAAGAATTTATTACCATTTGCGTCCAACATTGCAGCGGACATAAATCAATTACCCATAAGGAGTCAGAAAAAAAAATTTAACAAATTTACTTAAGGTTACAGAACACCTTTGAGTGTTAATTTTGCCTAAAATTTTTTTATTGGTTTTCATGAAAGCATTAGACTAGTTCTACTATCTGACCAAATTTGAACAAAACATGTTGAAAATTTGCACAGTTATTTAATAAAATACATTTCGTTGCAATAAGAAAAACATTGAAAATGTAATATTCAAATTCAATTTTATCCCAAAGAATTTTACGGCAATTACTGATTTTCAAACGAGTTGTTCTCCTGCAGGTTTTAACAAATTTTTCTGAAATTTTCACAGAACATAGCTAAAGACGTCAGTTTCAAAATTGTGTTCGGCATTTCTCTAATTTTGGATATTTTAATAATGAGTAATTCACTCAAACGATTCTGAAATATATTGAAAAAAAACCCAGCAGGAACACAACTCAAAAGCGTAACGGTACCGCGATTAAAGATTTTCCTGAATAATTTTTACATTATTTTATACATTTTTAACAATGAGAAATGGCCACATACTCGTCAAATAAAAATTGCTGGTCGAAATCGCATTCTTCCACTGCTGGGAATTGAATGGAAAATGAAACATAAACAATTCCCAAGAGGGAATTAAAATTGAATGTTCAATTATCTAAAATAAGCTTAACTCATCAATCTTGCATTAAACATGGTTCAATTAATCACTGAACAGAGAACATTCGTAAACAAACCGTTTTACGAAACAAGAACCTTGCAGCAAGCTCGCGTTGCTTTCAGTTGGATAGATTAATTTTGCATAATTAATGTTTTTCAATTCCCAACAGTGGAAGAATGTGATTTCGACTGACAATTTTTATTTGACGAGTATGTGGCCATTTTTCATCGTTACGATCTAAGAAAGGTATCATAGAATCCAAACCCCAATCCTAACCCTAAAAGTCTAAAAATAGTAACTCCCCCTAAAATGCGATTCATATGGAGGCAGCCTTGAAACATCTATGCAGTTGTATACTGTACATGCACTTTGAGTTTTTATAAATAAGTTCTTTGAGGCCAAATAGTGTGAAAGTAATTTTTCGATATGGCTATTATAAAAAATAGGTACGCTGTAGCGTACATGGCGTCTACTGGATCAAAAAAAGAACGTCAATGCCGTCAGGTTTATATTGACATTTCCGACTTTGTAGTGGGGAAGATTAAAATATCTCGGCAAGTATTTACCCACCCTTTAAAACAAGAAAGTTTTGTTTGAATACAGTGGACTAGAAAATTTTTAAAAAAATTTTTCAGAATATGGGGTTGTTACTCGCAGGCACATGCCAGCCCGATGCACGTGCAAATTATGCCACATTAAGGTAATTTGACCTTTAGAATCGATTTCCAATGTTTCCCGAGTGCTAGATTGTTTCAATATTTCAAGCTGTATTCCGCTCGAAGCTCTAGCATAAAATTTAGATATTCTGAAATACAGAAAAAATGCAAATCTATAGATACAAACTTGAAAATAACACTCTAAATAGTGTCTTGGAATGTGATTCGAACAAGACTATTACGAAAAAGATAGGTTGAGAGGGACCGAAGTTATATTTGGCGAAAGGTATGGCTTAGTGACCCATCCTCGTACATATTTAATGTTTACATTGTTCAAAGTGTATTGTATATAGGTATGGTATGACTAGTTTACATTGTTCGAGTATGGCGAGTTTATATCTTATGGCTGGCTATTTAACATTGTTCGATTTAACATATTTTCGTATTTCTACTACAAATACTCGCGGAGTTCTTTATATTAATAATGTCGGAAATGTCATGGCTGGATGGCATTGAGTTATGATGAATGATAAATTTATCGTAAACAGTTCGGAAACTTTCGTAGATGCGCGGGCTTGAACCTAACCAAACAGCTTGTTTGCAGGAGAAGTGAAGAGGGTCACAAATATAGTTTTCTGTTTTACCTCGAAAGAAACCATTCTGTTTCATCCGCATTTGAACCTTTTCTGACAATTCATATACGGTTGAAACAAACTGAGGTACGTCGTATATATATGTATATCCTGTTCTGTTGTTAGTATTGTATGTTGTTTTACATCAGTCTGTAAAACTGAGTTCCCCTATGGTTATAGAAGCTCAACAAAGTATGTTATGTTATACCTTATGCATTCATATAGAATTGTTGTAATGGACCAAACAATGAAAACATCTGGGAATAGTATTTGAAAAAAACGTCTTCACAACTTTCAGTCATCCACTGCTTCATCTTGGTTAACAATATTGCACTATGATTTCCGTTTGACCGTTTGCAATCATCCAGCTCATCTTGACTTGGGAAAAGAATGGATTCTTTAAATTCCAACACTGCAGCTATGCCAAATGCCATAAAAGTATCACACACTGCTTCTTGAATTTTATTTATGTTTTGATCCTGGAATTTCTTCTTCCCAAAGCTCTCAGCCGTTATCTTTTTCCTCATAAGAACGTTTTGTAAAATATGCATGAAGCCCCCAGGCGACATGTAGCCCTTTGCATGCATGTCACCTGGAACCTCTGCAGCCCAGCCATATGCTGCATGGGGACACCCTTTCACCCCGTGGATATTTTTATTTGTTCCCTAGTCACCAACAAGTAGTGAAACAGATGATTTGTTCTTCCTTTTGTAAGTGTAACACTCGCTTTCCGTTTCAACAACCTGGTTTTCATGGTCTACACATCCTACATTTGTGGTTGTTACTTGCTCTTCACTTTGAAATGTTCTCCAAATTTCATCATTGCTGGCAGATTCCTAGTTTGAAAAATTCTCCATTGTTTGCTGAACATTCATTTCCAATTTCATTGCAAGAGCATATGGGCTTGGAATAGTAGTAAAATGATGGCTGTCGAATATAGCATAATTATCTAAAAGATATTGTGACATATGTTCATCTTTCTTAATAACAGCAATGGTTAGAGATGTTGCACCGCATAATTACTTAGCGTTTATGTCAACTCCCACTGTTATGAGGGTTTTCACCAACATTATGTTTCCATTTTCCACTGCAGCATGTAGAACGGGCCCTTCCATTATGATCTTTCACATTCTCCCAATACACGGTGGGCACAAAAGACAGCTAATTCGGCCACGTACAAATAACTTTCTGCCGTTAGTTTGGAATATCACGAAACTTCCTCACAGGATAGAACTTGCAATTCCTAAAAATCCTATCGTTTTTGTTTTTCGATTTTGTTACATTTTGGCGGGGAAATGACGTGCCAACTTTGGCGCCAAAAAATTAAACACGAGCCAAGAACATGCTAGTAACTTTTTTGAAGAGATTGTCCTATAAGGATCTCAAAACTGTAAAAACATTAAAAATACATCAAGGCAGTGCGAAGATATGGCGATTCAAATTTAGAAAAAAATCTATTTTTAGTAACAAAATGGCGGTTTTTTCAGAATTTTAAGCACCATATCATTGCACTGCTTTGGCGTATTTTCAATGTTTTCACAGTTCTAAGATACTTATAGGACATTCTCTTCAAAAAAGTTCCTAGCATGTTCTTAGCTTGTGTTTAATTTTTTGGTGCCAGAGTTGGCACGTCATTTTCCCACCAAAATGTAACAAAATCGAAAAACAAAAATGATAGGATTTTTAGGAATGGCAAGTTCTATCCTGTGAGGAAGTTTCATGATATTCCAAACTAACGACAGAAAGTTATTTGTACGTGGCCGAATTTGCTGTCTTTTGTTCCAACCGTGAATAATTTTTGTGACTTGATAGCCAATCAATAAACTTGACATATCTTTGTCTTGTTGAGCTTCCCACATTTGCTTAATAATGTTTGTCAAAAGTATTCTCGAACTTGCCATCTACCTTCTGCTGGCTTGTGGTTGAAATGGAAACTGTCGATTCTGGTTCAAAATCTGTTGTAGGTAAATTGAATTCCTTCTCAACTTCATGTGTATTTTTAAAGAAGCCAGAAATTTATGGTGTGTCCAGGCAGCTCAGAGATTGAATGTCTGGTTTTTGCTGTCAAAAGGCAGTAGTCTTTACTGTGTTCGCAAGGGATACCAAACTCTTTGCAAAATTTCTCAAATATTGCAGCAGTACACGGTGGTCAGATTTCCTTAATTTTCTCCCACACCGGGTAACATGGTGTTGTATTTCAAGAGGCTGATTCGATCTTCAATAGCCGCCGTAAAAAATATATGCAACAGCGTGCTTTTATTAACTAAATTATGCAAACATTATCGGACTAATTCCTGCATTAATTAATACGTCTGCCTTTCAGTACACAAAACGTACTTGGGTGGTACCCCACAGGCAATATAGTATGCTTCAGAATGGTTTTCCGTAACCCCTATTTTTTAGCAATTTGGAGTTTATACGAGCTATGTGTGTGTCTCAATTGTGCTGTTTTTATATACACTGTGGTAATAGATTTATTTTAAGTTTAGGACTTATGCCTTTATTTTTTGTCTCTTTGCGCTGGAACTCAATATGTGACTCAGGGTAACCCATATTGGGAAAATTTTCGTTTTTTCCCTCATCATGTGGCTCTTAAATGAAAATTTGCTAAATTCAAAATAAAGTTTAGGCTAATGGCTACCACTAGTGGAGTGGAAGGAAGCAAGACAATGTAAGTACTGGCCATATAAACCCCTATTTTGATTTGCACTTTATCGATTATCCGCCATGTTGAATTTGCTTTTCTTCTCCAATGCGTTATTCTCATGTTCTGGTCAATATTTTGTGTCTTTAGAGCGAGGAGATTTTGTACAAAAAGTCGGCCGTGTGGCAAGGAATATAAGTACTCGAGTAGATGTAATAAAGCCAGAAATCATCACGCTTTTTGGGATGCTTCACATGTTCAAGTCAGACACACATTAAAACAAAAATCCGAAGAATTTTCTCAAGAACTGAAAAGCAGTTATGAGGGGAAAAAATGCCAAATTTGCTAATATAGAGGCACACAAGCAAGCTGCTAATCAAAGGGAAATTGAAACAGGTGAATGTACAGTACAGAAATGTCATAATATATTGTGCAGTTGAGTTTTATATATGTATGTAAACAACATGCCACGTTATATTTAACAAGTACAGTAGTGTAGTCTTTAAATAGCTCTAGAATTAGCTAAAATTAACATGTTTATATACATGGTTGTGTGAATGGATGCTGTATTCCATTACAAATGACATTAATTGTTTGCCAGTCTACTGTATATATGGCATATTTAGGCAGTATTTCAGTTAGGCTTCGCCACTTGATGTCTGTATGTCATACACTTTGACCTTCGTATATCATATATAGGCAGACCGGCAAATATATTTTTGATGCTTGTGATGTTACTCTGAGTGTATATCCACACCGGGTGAGCTTGAAAAATATGCCCGGCCACGGTGGGAATCGAACCTACGACCTGTAGAATACTAGCCCAATGCTCTGCCAACTGAGCTACGTGGTTATAAAGTTGTATCTTTTTACTTAGACTGATATAACTCTTAATACTATGAACTCAAACTGTAACTGTGCTATTTAATAACATTCCTAGTGTCCTGCTTCGTGTGTCCATTTCCATGTGACCCAGCTCATGTCTGTTCCCCGCCTTTATGTGGGTTACTTATTAACTGAACATTACATCCCTTTATCCTTAAATAAATATGAATTTCAACTGTTAGTTCAGTTAATGTAAATATATAAATATATAAATATATAGGTTTGGACAATGTCAGATAGTTCAGCATGTAATGAATAAACAGTTCCCATGTTTATGGTTTGTAATTTGGCTCTGTGTTTCTACTACTTCTAACAGGATATCGACGACTGTCCATGTTGACTGCTTGGTCATTCAGTTCGGAATTTTCTTTCTCTCTCTCCTCTTCTCCTCCCTCATCTCTTTCTTTTGGCGCGCTTGGTTCGGACAATTTCATGTCTGAGGGCAAAAGTTTAAAATGAGACGAGTTTCGAGTGATGGTTTGATCTTTTGACGTCGCTGTGATCATGGACCCGTTTATTTAGGTGATTCGAAACGGTTCAACTCGGAATGGTGTGGTAAATTTGTTCTTCTTTTCCTGTCTGGGTAGAACTAGATCTCCAACAGAGAATTTATTTGGTTTACTATAACTTTGTTTGTCTGCATGGTATTTCATCTTGTGTTTAGCAGCAGAATCCTTAGTGGCGATTGCAGGTTGAGTGGGGTGTAAGGTGGGCATTTCAGGGAGTTTGGTTTTGATCTGGCGACCCATCAATAACTCGGCTGGTGATTTTCCTGTGCTTGAACGAGGTGTGGAACGATAATTTCTCAAGAATTTTTGAAGCTCTTTCTCCCAATTTTTTTGTTCAGTTCGTGCAGTGCGAATGGCTTTTCCCAGGGTACGCATGAAACATTCAGCCTCTGCATTGGCCTTTGACCATAATGGTGTGATCTTCCGGTGTGTTTAAAACCCAGTTCTGTGGCAAAGACTTTGAATGCATGGTTGGTAAATGGTGGACCGTTGTCGGTTTTTAACAGGTCTGGGATGCCGTGGGTTGCAAAAATTTTGTCAAGTTTGGGTATAGCAGCTGCAGCAGAGGTGGAGGAGACGATTTCAACTTCTACGAAACGCGAATATTCATCAATAACAACCATGAGGGTTTGTCCAGTAGGGAGTGGGTCATAGAAATCTGCAGCAACATTTTGCCAGGGGCCCAATGGTAGGGGTGACATTTTAAGCAGTTCTAACTTGCTTTCAGGATTTGCAGCTTGGCAAGGAAGGCAGTACTTTATCATTTCTTCTGCTTGTTGATCAATGCGAGGGAACCATATCTTTTCGCGAAGTAATCGTTTTGTCTTAATAAGCCCTTGATGTCTTTCATGGGCTAGTTCAAGAGCTCGGCGGCGCAGGGTAGTGGGCATCACAATGCGAGAACCTCTGAGGATAATATCATTGTTTGTAGTAACAGTCAACTCGTGACGAATTTTGTGGAAAGCTTTGAGATCTCTTAAATTGTACTTGTCTTTGTCATTAGGACAGGAATGATCTGTATCAAGGACTGAGTGCCATTGTTGAGAGCGAATAATTTCAGCAAGCTTTCGTAGTGTTGGATCCTTTAATGTGGCATCCTGGATTTCAGCTAGTGTCATTGCAATTAGAACTGTGGATGTTGTCAGCAGGGACACATATTCTTCTGCAATGTTATGCTCATGCAATGGTTGGTTTTGTAATGGATTGCGAGATATGTAGTTGGCAGGATTAGTTTTGCCAGGTTCATAGCGAACTGTGAAATTGTAAGGTTGTAATCTAAGATTCCAACGTTCGAGTCGAGCAGGAGGCTTCGCTTTCGGGTTGTTGAAGATGTTGTCAGTGATCAGTGTGAATGGTGCACCATATACATAAAGATGGAATTTTTCACATCCCCATACACAGGCTAGAGCCTCGTGCTCAGTTTGTGAATATCTTTGTTCGACAGGCGACATAGAGCGACTAGCATATGCCACAATATTTGTCCCACTGTCACTAGTTTTCTGGGTTAAAATGGCACCCAGGCCTACAGGGCTAGCATCGACAACAAGCTCAGTGTCCTTGGCAGGATTGAAATAGGCCATTGTAGGACTAGTTGTGAGGCGACGTTTTAACTCGTCAAAAGCATGCCGATGTTGTTGGGGAGTCAGAGCACAAAGTGGGGCTGTGATGGCGGAGAAGTCATAGATAAAACAGGAGACATAGTTAACTGTACTGAGGAAACTATGCAGTTCTGCTGTGTTGGTTGGTGGGGTGGCATCGTGTATTGCTAGGACTTTTTTTGGATCGGGTTTCATGCCAGCTGGACCGAACGTGTAGCCAAAAAAATCAAGATTTTCCTTGTCAAAAACACACTTGTCAGGATTCAGAGTTAGTCCTTTGTCGCTCAGGCGGTGAAAAATTTCCTTCAGGGCTTTATCATGTTCTGCTGTTGTGTTGCCAAAAATGATAATGTCATCACTAATGTTTAAAACACCATTTATGCCTTCAAGGGCATGCTGTATGGTGTGTTGAAAAATTTTGGCACTTCATCAGCTGCTGAAATTTTTCAACACACCATACAGCATGCCCTTGTGAGTAGCAAAAGTTGTGATGTGTCTTGATTCTGGTGCAAGGACGAATTGATGGTATCCAGATCGCAGATCGAGCTTGCTGAATTTTTTGGCACCATTAAGTGAGTGAATGATGTCATCAACAGTAGGTGAAGGGTGTCGTTCGCGATGGATGGCACGATTGGGAAGCCGCATGTCTACACACACACGACAGCGGTCAGGACGGTTCGAGTAGGTGATATTTTGGAACAGAATCTAGTTCCTTCGATACCAATGTAATCTAGCAAGAAAAAAAAATCATATTACTAGATTACATTGGTATCGAAGGAACTAGATTCTGTTCTGAAATATCACTTACTCGGACCATCCTGACCGCGTAGCTCAGTTGGCAGAGCGTTGGGCTAGTATTCTAAAGGTCGTAGGTTCGATTCCCACTGTGGCCGGGCATATTTTTCAAGCTCGCCCGGTGGGGATATACACTCAGAGTAACATCACAAGCATCATATTCACCTGAGTACACAACACCAACACAAAAAAAAAAATTTTGTCAATATAAAATGCCGTCTGATAGTAAAATAAATTTATAGCATAGATGTACTGTAGTCGCAATGGAAACGAAAGAGATACTGTTCATTCTCATGAAGTGAACACAATAGGTATTTAAATATTTGTAAACACACGGTTTTAGTGAATGATCAAATTACTAGAGACCTATAGACATATTCACAGGAAGCATACTATGTTGGCAAATCTTGCATAAATACTAGTACCTTTCAATTTGTAGATAAATTGGTTAATGATGCAAGGGCTAAAGTTGCAGGAACTGAACAAAAGCTTCAAGCCTTGAAAGCAAAATATGACCGGTTTAAGATAATACTTCGCCAAACGCAACAGGCGAGGGCTAAGAGTAAAAAATCCCACCACTTATGAATCAATTAGTGATGCACGTAATAGCACTAGATATCGTAGACGGCAAGAAACAAATGATATACTTGTGTACATTCATGGTAATGAGGACGGGGCAATATTGGGTGCATGGGATTTCATTGCTGCCCATGCATCAGATGAAATAGTTAGTAAATTAATCAGCAATTACAAGCATGGTAAATATTTATAAGGAATCATTGGCAAATCTGTCAAAGATTTCAGGAATTCACAAGATGCCATTAAACAAGCAGTAGCCATGAAATACCAGAACCATCTTTCTCGATGAAAATTCAAACTTGTTTGTAAGACCCAGAGTTCAGTATACGACGCAGAGAAGGAAGTATGGTTGCCACGAAATGTGAAATGTTTAGATGCAGAAATTGCTCTCCCTAAAATAGCTAGTAATGAGAAGATAGATAAGTTTATAAAAAGTTTGGACATTGGCAATGTTTCACAAATAAATAATTACCTGGGCATCTCTCGTACCGTTACTGGTTTAGTATTTATGATTTTAGATCTTCATTTAAGGGTGCCTAGACTGAACAAGCAATTAATATGGTTCAATGGAAATACTAACCACTTCATTCTTCAGTTTTCTGATAATGGTGCTCCAGAGACAAGTGAGCTTGGTATGTCAATTGACCCCTTGACATGCTGGAATTTTGGGACTAGGGTGCGCAGTAGGGAATTTCATTAATTGCTTCATTGTCTGAGTGTGTCTGAGAACGATAAGGTGATGGAAGATATTTGGAAGCAGCATATGGATGAAATGCAGGTCATGAAGGGTAACTTGTTGACAGTGTGTGGGTATCAGTGCACAGTGGAATTTCAACCAAGTGCTGATCAGTCATGGCAAAGCTGGGCAAATAATGAGTTAAATCAAGCAGCAACCTATCCTTCCCCATATGCCAATGTCCATCATGGAGAGTTTTCTCGGATGGGTGGTACCATTGGCAATGACGTAAGCTGCATTTGGCAACCATTTACCCAGCAAAGTAGAGAAAGGGATTTGGCAAAGCTGGAAAGCTTTAGAAGGACTTTGCCAAAAAGGTCTGAAGTTCAAACTCACAAAAAGGAGCTTGAATTCATGGCAGCTAATGGTATGTGCCAACTTGTTGAGCCAAGGATTGGAATTCTATGCCAATCTGCAATGGCCAGAACCCATGCACAATGAAATGAATGCATGGCAACACCTGCTTAATTTGTTGTATAAGGAAGCATTGCAAAGGCAGTGTGTTGATTTATTTTTAAATATACTAGCCTCTCCTGTTAAGACTACTGGAAACACTTTTCAGAACCAGTCAGGTACTCAATCTTCTAGTACTGACAATGAACAAACAAATAGTGAGGGATCTGCTCTAGTGCAGACTGGTTGTGGCCTGGCATTCATTGCCAACAGAATCAGGGAGCATTATAATGACAAGAGTCATCAATCAAGCAATTGCACTGGCTAAACATTCTTACAGATTAGTTGACATGTTGGAGGCTGGAGGTGAATCAGAAGCTCAGAAATTGAAAAGGCTGACACTTGGAAAAATTGCCCAGTATTTAAGGAATGCTGGGACTTTGTTCAACAAGGTTGTCACTAACAAAAACGAACTTGATCAGCTCAAAGATTACTTAAACCAATATTTCAACTTGCTTGCTTTGTTTTTCCCTACATCTGTCAATGTTACTGTATGGACAATGGCATATGCTATTCCATACCAAGCTTCCATTCTTTTTGACAGTTATGCCATTGGCTTAGGCATAATATCTCTCCAGGCAAAAGAATCGAAACATGCAGGGATAACATGATCTTTCGCTGACTAATCGCTCCAAATCCACTGTCTCTGGCTCACTTGGAAAGTAGTGGCAGGTTATGCGAGCAAATTATGTGAGAGTGTTTTATCTGCCTGAGCACAAACCAATACCGTCCACCTACATGTCACACTATGACTCAAGAATGCCATCCCAAGTCAAATGTGTGGAATGCTGTGATTGTGGCAGAATGAAAAGTGATCCTCATGAAGAGCTTTGCAATATTTGTATGCAATGCACTGACGTTCTTCGCTGCGCTTCGGAGCAAAAACTTATCCATGAGGTAGAATTTGTTCTTTTACCAGTGGTCTGCTCAACATGTGGCAACAGATTTCCTGATAAGTTATATAATATTAACTATGTTAAATCTGTGCATTCAACCTCTGAGAAATTACTAAGTGGAGTAAATGTCAAATCACTTACTTTGCCTCAACTGAGAGAAGAATTGAAAAAAGAGGGCTCAGTACTACAGCAACAAAACAAATTCTTGCAAGGAGGCTTGAAGGGCACATGGCAAGTGAGGTAGAATAGATTTTGACATAACCAGTTGACAGGGGCCATAGTGATTAGGAATTACTGTACGAGTCGGTGAGGACACACAATATGTTTGCGCGGAAGATAAAAATTACCTGACACAATAGGGAGGATGTAATTACAGATAGAAATGTAAGAAACCGGAGTCGAAACATTTTACCTAATCAAATAAGACTATTTATTTTGGTTACTATAAAACATTTACATAATAAAATATTTAATTATATTATATAGGACATATTAGTATAGGTAATAGCATGGTTTCGAGTGCAATTTGGATATAACATGCACGAGTGAGTTTTTCAAAGACCTCAAAATAGCATGAGTCTGGAGGACGAGTGCTATTTGAGGTCTTTGAAAAACTCACAAGTGCATGTTTATCTAAATTTCACAAGAAACCATGCTATTACTTATTAATAATTTACATAAAAATGTTCGAGACAATTGTAGTTCTATAAACTTACGCGTTTGTAGCAAACATTCCACTGGCAAAGTTTTCCTGGCTTTATTATATCACATTATACAACGCTAACAGCTTGAAAATTCCACTCAACTATGTAATTTTTGTTAGTCTTGTTTAAGATAAATGCTTTTCCATTTGAAAATAAAGATAAAAGCCATATTCTCCACGCGAAGGCAACTTTTACTTTGTGTAGCGCGGTGCCATGTTTGTTTTTACCTTTGAAGCAATCTGTGACCGTTACTTCTTTAAACTAAATTGCTTTAAACTGATTGGTTGATTTAATCATCACAATGTTTTTCCACCAATCAGATCAGTTTGTTACAGATTTTTGCACTGTGATTACAAAAAATTGCACTGCTGTTTGGGATTAACTGCACTGAAATCAACCAATCACAGTCGAGTAATATCTTTATGTATATTATTATACATAAAATGAAAGTACAACCCCAATGGGTTAAGTGATATAATGTTATACTAAAACTACATTATTTGTATCTTTTAATATATCAGATTACATGTATTCTTGATTTCATAGTAGAACCCATGTGTAGAAACAACCTTTCACAATTAGATTTCACTATGAATGTCCAACATGCATGGGATGTGAAGTGTGTCATCTTGCCCATTCTAGTCTCTACACAGGTGTGAAATAAGGAATATGCAGCCTACCTTGTGGTATTAATGCAATTTTTGTGGCTTGTATGCATGTTGCCAATGGTTCTCGTGTCCCTTTGCCTAACTTTTAGCATAGCAATAGTGCCATCCAATGATGCTTTAGTTCATCCAGCCACTTATTGTTATGAGATTAAGCAAAGGGATATAAATAACTGTATAAGGTAACAAATTGATGAAATCTAGAAGTACAGCAATGTAACACTTGTAATAATAAAATATATATTGGCAAACTATTCATGTGTGAATATGTGTTATGTGTGTGCTGTTACTTCAAGCTGCATAAAAGAGCACATGCAGGATGAAATATATTTTGGTTATGTCATAAAAACGCAGCATGGTTATGCCATAACCTACACAGTTTGTTTATAATCAATGCGGTAAATATTTTTAACACAATGTGCAAGTCCTGCTGTTTTTGGTGCACTGTTTCACATGCTGCAAGTATATAAGACACTGCACAAAACAGCAGGACTTGCACATTTGCAAACTCCCTTACTAGAGTACTAATATTCCAATGAAACAAAATCAAGCACTGTGACTATAATCCAACAAACAGGAGTAAAATTAAGATTAATAGTGATGGCAACTAAGAACACACATTCCAATGAATGAAATAAAAACAGGACATGAATGGACCTTTAACCTAATAAATAACATTTTAATCTAAACAAGTCTAACGAAAGGCACTGGAAAGAGCATCACAAAATTAGTAATATTCCAAAGTTTCGTTGCAAAGTGTTGTAAAATGCGGATAATATAGTCTTGCGAAGTTTTTCAGTCATTTTGTATTAGGCATGAGGAATTGGCAGCCCAATCGGGTGTTGGGGTAGCAATTTCCCGTTTGTAATACAAAATTGCAAATTTCGCAGGGCTATATTATCCGCATTTTACAACATGTCGCAACGAAACTTCGGAATATTACTAATTTTGTGATGCTCTTTCCAGCTGTGATGAAATTTTTGTCTAGACTTGTGTAGATCAAAATTTTAGTTATAAGGTTAAAGGTCCATTGTAATCAAAACAAAATTAGAATCATAATAGAAATGACATTTGATATTTGACCCATATACATGCTCATGCATACATGTGTTTATTTTCCACTTTTGTAGGGTCTACAATGACTTGTATTTCAGCGGACAAGACTTGTTCTAATACATCATAAAAATACAGTGATATATGTGCTATCAAAATAAGTCAGCCCACAAAACGAAAAGTCATTGTAGTAACTGTTAAAGTTCAACCTTGCACATTCAAATGCAGTATCACATGTCATTACAACATTAAGAGTTACACCTCACCCTGATTCATTAAAGATTGCAGGCTTGTATCTATAGTTATTTTTTCAGCAGAATATCTTTATACATAGAATGTCACTGTTGTCCTCTCAGTCTTCATAGAATAATCAATGATCTGCCATTAAACACAGGCACTAGCCTCTTCCCAACTCGACAAGGAACCTTTTTGAAATGTCTGTGTGCAATGAAATTTTCCCCTGAAAATCTCGATGGCGAAAATAGCTTTTCTAGCTAATCTTCGCTGTCGAGCCAAACATGATGATTCTTGCCATCCCGCGATGATTTTATCTCACCAGAATAGCCTCTAGCCAAAACTAAAATATGGCGAAACATGATCCACAGTATAAACAAAATAACTGGGGCCATTAGACCAGTTGCTTTAGACCTTCGAAGCTTCTGGGAAATAGCCCTCCCAATTTCCTTCAAATGGCCATCAGGCAATGGCCCAACAAGCTCCAGTTTATTGCCAACGACTTCCCCCAACAATCCGTCTTATTCGCAATATTCTCCATGCCATAATTTGGCTTATTCTCGGCAGATCGAACAGACTTGATCCACTCACGCTCAACAGAAAATTTCATTTCCGTTACCAACATATTCCAGAAGCAATCTCCCCTCTCAGAACACTCCGCAAAATATTTTAAGTTGAGTTTATTCTCAGATTCTTTAGTTGGCGCACTAATTTTGGCAGCAATTTTGTTTTATTTGATTACATGGTTTAAATGGAGTACTCGCAAGTATTACGTGCAACGCTGACCAACTGCGCCCACACAAGTCGGAGAAAATCGCGCGAATCTGACCATTGTGGTACTTGCAGTGGTCGCATTATTCTCCAACGACAAAGGAAGTATCAATGTTTCTGACTTTTGACACTTTGAGATGGATTTGACACTCAGAACAGGAATAGCTATGTCATATTTGGGTGTTGGTTGCTTTGTAAAATCTTGATTTTTAAGCCACTTATCAAAATTCTTTTAATTCATCTCAGTTAACTTCTTACTGCGACTCGGAATAGAATTCAGGCCAGTATCAAGTAGTTGCAGTAAAAAGTTGTCTTGAACCTCATTCCACACTCTCAGGTGATCTGAGTGGTTAGCGCATTTGCCTTTCACCTCTAAGGCCATTGGTTCAAATCTCAGTGAGAACTTCTCAATGTGACTCGAATCCAGTCCTCATGTGAAGAGTAAAAGTCAATGCTCTGCTGAAAGTTGTGGGTTTTCTCTGGGTACTCCGTGTTTCCTCCCAGAGGGAAAGTTGACAGGGTGTGATAGGCACATAGGTCTGGAGGCAGATCACTAATGAGGTATCGACTAATAGCGGCTGCTCAAGCGCCATTTGTAAGCTCAAAGTCTACCTCAGTCTGCTTCAAGTCATTCCGGTTCTATCTATCTATTCATAATGTAACCAGTCACTGAAAAGCCCTGATAAAATACAGAAATACAGAAAACATGTAAATAAATATAACACTGGATTTAAAACAGATGTTACAGAATAACACATGCTTCTCCCATGCTTACTTAATATTTTTAGTATAATATTTGCTGTGTTGGTGTAATGTACTCGGGTGAATAAGATGCTTGTGTGATGTTACTCTGAGTGTATATCCAAAGGTCATAGGTTCAAATCCAACTGTGGCCAGGCATATTTTTCAGGCCTGCCCGGTGTGGATATACACTCAGAGTAATATCACACAAGCATTTTTAGTATAGTTTTCAGTACTGAAAATATTAAAATCACTAAAAGTATAAAAGTATAAGCAGGCGAAAATATTTCAGTGTAATTTCAGAATTTATTATATTCCTTTAGGAGATTTCTCCTTTACTTATCCGTGCTTTGGTGCTTGTTTGAACAATGTTTTGTAGAAAGTAAAACTGCATGGCCATTCCCAGATTCCTCCTGCACATATCAAGTTAATGCGAGAGATCACTAGTGTTGTGGTTATGACTCACTGGACAGATTTAGATAGAGGATGTGCACATCAACGACGACATGAAAATGGTGTGTTGTGCCCATGCCACGCCATTTTGACACCATTTTCAGGTCGTCTTTGACGTCGGCATCCTCTAAATCTGTCTAATATCTATTGTCAACACACTGCCTCAAACTCACAACCCAAGGTGTTTACACTTCCACTTACCCCAAGGGTTAGTGACAACAGAGATAAACACCCTGGCTTGTGAAGTTGACAATGAATTGAAAAAGAAGCTGACTTTTGTACATTAAATATAAAGCTTGACATACCATGAATTCGTTTTATCCACAAGCTCTTCATCTGCCTTCTGATAAAATTGCCCAACAAGTTTTTTTAAATCCAGGTTTACAAAGTACACTCTACATGTATATCAATCAAGGAAAAATACATATGCCAATATGGAAACAAACATATTAACTGATTAAATATATGTGAAATTTCCCTTTGATAAGTAAAAATATAAATTGTCTAGCATTAGATTAGGAGATAAAGCTAAAGTAGCTTGCATGGTAGTGTTAAAGGACATTGGCAACCAAAATTTTTATTGCTTCATCTGAAAGAGCATGAAAAAATAAGCCGGTTGGCCATTTAACTCTTTCTCAGCTACCCTGGACGACAGCAGGTTTTGCATTACATTACAAGTCAATGTTTCTAATGTAAATATCTCGGGCGAGTATTTACCCCTTTAAAACAAAACGCACCATTGAAATCCTCTCGAAATAACCTTTCGACCGTGGGGTCAAGTGCCGTCATAACATTACACAAACCAAAACAATCATATATTTATACTCATCGCTTGGCCAAACATTCTGTTCGACATATCGGGAAAAAGTTGAATATTTTCTAAACTTTTTGTCATTTTCTAAAAGCCTACAGACCTTCCAAGTTTCCCGCAATTACCGCATTTTTGTTTGCTTTCACACATCACACATGAAGTGACTTTCTTCCCGCATTTTTAAACTTAAACTTAACTTGTCGAGGTTTCTTCCTGTGAGGCAATTACTCCCATTTCTTTTCATTTGCACAATGTTCAATGCTTTCTTTTTGCCAACGCCAGTACCCAGAAGTCTTGAAAATGTGTGTCTCAATCGTATCAAAAAGAGGTAAAAAGCTGGGAGACGCCTGAGAAGCACTATTTTTTGCCGTTTGGGAAGGAGGAGTGACGAATAAAATTTCATGTTTTTATAGCATGGAGCTTATGAGCTTTGTGCTTCGAAAAAGGCAGAAGAAAAACCTCGGAAAGGCAATTTTCTGGCGATCTGGGAAACTCAAATTTCAAACAATTGTTGACACTAACCTAAGGAAATTACCTTCCCGCATAAAATTTTTCAAAACATGACAGGTCTGAGCCTATATGAGTAAAAGATTCTTTGTATTCAAGCGCTTTCGTGTAGAAAGTTTCGTATGAGTACAGCGAATAGAAATATTTATTTTGAATTTTTCAAAGACATCAGGTTTTACTCGCACGCGCGTGTATTGCATAATACATGGCCAATGAGGAGCTCCTTTAGCCGGGATGACGTCAAACTCACGCCTATAGGTGCAATTTGACCTGTAGAATCCATTTCGGACCTTTGCAGAGTCATACGATACAAACATCGCATTGTTTCAACACTTTTAAGTCGTATTTCCGGTTTGGTAAAATCAAGCTCGGACCAGAAATGTAAATCTGGTAATAAATGGCTAGAATTTACAGATAGAAGTTTGAAAATAACACAGTATACAGCATTTCGAATGGTTAATCGAACAAGAGTGTCACAATGAGCATACATCTCAAAGGGCCGAAGTTATGTTCGGTGAAAGGTATGTTTATGTTTATAATTTGTTAGTAATATTGCATAATTTGATCATATACGAGCTCGCTTGACTTTCAAAGCTCATAAATCACTATATAAATGTTGCCATTGACTGAAACTATTGTTATGAATAAGTATATATTTTTACACTGAATCGAATGGTGGTATTTTCAACAACATAGCGTTTATTGAATCGAAGATATGAACGAAAACATCCATATATTGTGCAAGTTCTACACGTAATGGTACCCGCTGAGAAAGAGTTAATGCTCTATTCTATCTCATCTAGTTCCGAAGTTATAAACTGAACTTATAAAATAAACTGGAGTTATAAAATAAACTGAAGCATAGCTCAGTTATTATAGGCCCAAATCAAATGAAATTTTGCATTCTGATTGTACATGATAAGGTGTATTGAAAAACGCTTCTAATTTTGTGTCGTTCCCAGGCCCCTTGCGCCAATTTTATAAAACAGCTTTATTCGTGGTACTGATAATGTTAAAATAATATCAGAAGTATGTGTACCATACCTATGCATGCCAAAAGTTTACTTGCATGATAATAATTCGAAAAAGACATACACATAGATAAATGCAACTAGTTATTCAAAATCAATGTAAGGGGCCTGGGAACGACTGTGTTGCCTTGACAACAAAATTAGAAGTATTTTCCCATGCATCTCATCATCTACTATCTGTATGCAAAATTTCATTTGATTTGAGCCATTAATAACTTGGCTATGCTTTAGTTTACTATTCAATAAACATACTTACCCAACTAATGTCACACGTTGTGCTGAATCAGCAATTTATATTTTGCACATTTTTGCATATAACTTCGTAACTAGATGAGATAGAATAGAGCATGAATAGAGCTTATTTTTTCATGCTCTTTCAGATGAAGCAAAAAAAATTTTGGTTGCCAATGTCCTTTAAAGATTTTAGTTTAATCAGCATGCGTATTTGAAACAATCAGGCACAATAGGGTACAGAAGATTTATTTTCTTCAAATTTATAAGGAACACAAATACTCCTTAAAAAAGGCTTGAACCCAGGTTCATTCATTTTGTTTGTTTTATTAATTTTGTTATTCTAGATTATTAAGGAGATAAAGCTAAAGTAGCCTGCATGGAGGTCAACACATATTAAAACAAAACAAATACTCCTAATGCTCATATAATTTCCTTACAGCTTGATTACTCAGTAGTGTGACTTTGGCAAAACCAATACAAAACTTTTGCTAAAGAGACTGATAAATATTATAATTACAGTGGCAAAACTCATGAAATGTTATATCTGTTTATTTGTTCAGTAAAAGGATACTGTTTTTGACCCATTTCTATTTCCCTTCTGATGTAAACACCAGGAAAGTTTTCTTTTACAACACGTGGTACAAGAGTTTTCCTGTCTTTGTCCAAAGCCAAATAGGTTGAAACTGTTGAAAATTTGGTTTTTGCACCTTCCTTCAATTCAACTCCTTTCAAATGCAGTGATAAGGTTTCCCTCCTGTTAGTCACTTCTTTTCCACACGGTTTTCCTCGTACATTAAGGTTACAGGGCACCCTTCTTGGCATTCTGTGGAAAATCTTTACTGCGTGCTCAAAATTAGTCCGATTTTCATCAAATTTTCACCAAATGTTTGCCCGTACATGCAAAATATGGTACAGTTGTAAAATTGACAAACAATAAAATAATGTAAGAATTATTGAGGAAAATCTTAAATCGCGGTACCTTTACGCTTTTAAGTTATGTTCCGGCTGGTTTTTTATGCCACACAGGCGTGAACTAAAATCTTATGCCACACAGGCTTGAACTAAAATCCTTTGCCA